ATCCAAAGGGCAGCCTGCGCCATCTTAGAAGGTAATGGCTTCTGTCATCCGAGTGGGAGTTCGGCCATCTGTGCCAGATCGACTTTTTACTCCTTACTCAGAGGGGTGTATTGAGCTCTGCGAGCCCACGACTTCTGCTCAAAATGGCGTGAACCATATAGTCAAATGCGTGAACCATATAGTGCGGTCCTTAAGCGACGAGCGGAGCGTCCACGCAATTTTATTATCAGTTAGCCTACTCTAGGTTTGAAACTCTCTTACACATAATTTAATTTTGCTTAACCTTTCGATCTCAATGAATGCATGAACCTTGATTCAAAGGGAAGACTAGACAGAGTTTAAATTATGCCTAACAGTTAGTGAAACTTAATAGCTGTCACAAGATGATTTAAATTCGGCTCTTCATATTTCTTAGTTATACTTATTAGCATTATTTTATGTGATCAGATGGACCTGTTTTTCGTATACATTTTTAACCCAAAAGAGCATTAGAAACGGGATTTGTGTCGTTCACTATAAACGCCTATATCACTTTTCAAATTCTTGCCACCAACTATTACCGCCCGTATGTTTCTCGCACTGTGAAAAAACGTCGGTACCTAGGGCCATGAATCTTAAATAACGAAATCCTTCACCCGAACATGGGCACCTGGAACACCGAAATTTGAATTTTGAATTTTTTTATTATGTATTTCGTATTTTGCAAAACTTTAGAATTTTTGATTAATTTAACTTTTGATTAACAAAGTTTTGATTGATGTATTGTACTCGTATTCACATTACATTTGAGGAAGACAGTATTCGGGTCGAAGTACTACTGTTAGCTGTCTTATTGAGTTATGAACCCAAAATCAAATTTAACTGTCCGAAACTAGCATGTTGGTGAGTGCTTTCTTAGGAACAGAGTATTGGAATTAGCAGTGCTCAGCCATCTTATCTACTTAATTACTCATGGACCTAGAATCAAATTTAACTGTCCAAAATTAGCATGTTTGTAAGTGTTTACTTAGGAAGACAGTACTGGAAGTACTACTTTTCAGCGGTCTTATCCATTCGGCCTTTGATTGGAATAATAGCGATTTAGCGGTCTTATTCGGTTAGTTGTTGGTGGACTTGGAATGAAATTTAAATGTTCGGAAGCTAGCATACTGGTGAGTGCTTACTTGGGAAGACAGTACTGGGAGTATTAGTGTTCAGCTTCCTTTTCCCACTTTGCTATTGATAGAAGTATCAGTACTTAGCGGGCTTATTCACTTGGATATTGATGGATTTGGAATCAAATTTAATAGCACAAAACATGCATGTTCGTGAGTACTTACTTTGGAAAGTAGCCTTAGATTTATTAGTGTTCAGTGGCCTTACACAGTTAGCTCTTGATGGACTTGGAATCCAATTTAAGTGCTCAAAACTAACATGTTGGTGAGTGCTTTCTCGGGAAGATAATATTGTAAGTACCATTGCTCAGAGGTCTTATCTAATTAGTTCTTGGTGAAGCCGGAATTAACATTTAAATGCCTAAAATTAGCATATAGGGGAGTGCTTACTTGGGAAAATCGTACTGGGAGTGTCTAGAGCTCCATTTTAACACACTATTCTATGTCGATAATATGCCGATCTCTTTTTCTTTGTTCTCATTATTTTTTATTACGCACCTCTAAACTGCAGATACTGAATCAGCGTATACGGGAGCAGGAATGTAGTGAAAAATTAGCATTTTGCTTTTTGAAGAAGAGAGATCTAGGTTACATTCTCATGAAATGCATAAAAGTTTTCTTTGAAGATAATGCTATTCTGAATTTTAATTAAACCTTAATTTTAAATATCCAGTAATATCTAATTACGTAATTACACGCATCATTTTATAAGGTATTTCTGCCGCCTTCTTGGCACGCCTTCGTGGTGTGGTGGTCTGCACGCTGGGCGCGTATTCCAGAGGTCCGCGGTTAGTTCGATTCCTGGCGAAGGCGTTGCTAATTTTTCAATTTCTTTTGCTTCCAAAAAATCGTCCTTTAAAAGGGAAAGTATATAAGGTATTTCTCCCGCATTTTTAGCATGCCTTCGGGGTGTAGTGGTTTGCATGTTGAGCGCGTATTCCAGAGGTCCGTGGTTCGATTTGAGTCAAAGGCGTTACTCATTTCTCATCTCTCCTGCTTGCAATTAACCCAATGTCTCTACAATTTAACTGCTTGCATCATTTGTTATATTCACAGATCATGCAATCTCTTTCCTCTACGGTGAGCACCATTAAAATTACCAATCATTCGTATTTCAAGAAAGTGTTATTTAGAAAAATCAAGACATCTATTGCATTTTAAGGTGGTGGTGGTGTAATTAATTATGGCAAAGCACACGAGAGCTATCTGCCTAAAGGAAGGGATGCCTTCGTGGAGGACTTTCTAAGGGAAACTGGCTCGTATACACGTTACACATGGGGAAAACCACGAAAACACCCATGCAGCCAGCCCGTTCGCGGGATTCGAACCTCGGACAGTTCAGCGACTGACGAAGAGTGTTCAGCGACTTTACCGCTCGGCTGCTGGTGGGCCAGCATTTTAAGGAATCGTGTGACAAATCAAACTTGTAGTATAGTTGAACAAATCTTTCCATCACCTAAAAACTCTCTGTATTTACAATTACTCGTATATTGATTTGTAGAAAGCAAATGCCGAACAGAGCCAAGCTACACTGCATCGTCAAATGCTGATATCCCGTTTTAAGTGTGATAATATCTGAGTATTCAAAGTGGGTTTTATAAATCAATATATTTATATCCCCCATTACTTTTGTATATTTAATAAATTGCTCAGCTCTACCATAAAATAACAAAGTGCGTGACACCAGGTGCTTTGCTGAGGCGCCGGTTCGGTGCGTCGCTGTCTCTATTACATTACCACAGATATACGTGACAAGGGTCTTAGATTGCTTTTAATGGCTTATCAGCATATCTCGCTTCGGTTATGAAATGAAACCATTACAAAGAAACTGTAGCTTATGCTGCTGCTGAATATTAAAACACTGAGAAAATTTTATGAATCTTTCTGAAAATTCTCAAGTTTAGGTTTAAATTATTATTATTTTTTAAAGTCCAAAGAGGCAATTTGCCCAGAAAAACTATTAATTTCGTTTTGGCATTTTGCGTTCATTCACTGCTAGCTTTGTTCACTTTTCAAATTGTTGCCACCAAATATTATCGTCCTGTAATTATATTTAAAGAAATTAAATAATGAAGGATCTGCATAAATGTATGTACGTTTCTCGCATTGTAATGAAACAACGGTACCTAGAGCCATCCAATTTTGAATAACGTAATCCTCCTTCGAATATGGGCATCTAGAAGCCCAAATTTGGAATTTGTTTTATTTGATAACCACAATAAGAATTTACAGGCCTTCGGCGTAATTTCATATCCTATTAAATACTGCACATCATATGGATTAAAATCTCATACGTATGTAGAGTCGTTAAGTTTTTTGAAGCAAGAGACGTGAAAACTGAGCAATGCCGTCGCCTGGACTCGAACCTGGACCTTTCGAATTTGTGCCGAGTGTGCAACGAAGGCATCTGAAATGATGGACAAAATACCTTACATACTTCCCCCTTTAAAGGGTGACTGGGGATTAGGGGACCCTATAGCAAAATTCAGATGATGACAAATTATTTTTCACCACCTTTGAGTTCGGGTGCCACTGTAGAGTTAGCAGGTTTTTCGAAAAAAGAGATGTGAAAAATGAGCAATGCCCTCGCTGGGACGCGAACCTGAACTTCTCGAATACGCCCCAAGTGTGCTACCATTACACCACGAAGGCATGTAGAGAGAAGGAAGAAAATTCCTCATATGTATAAATACCCTTTTCTTTCTTCATATTCTTTTCTTTCTTCATATATATCATGTAACAGGGAAAGTCAGCTAACCTTTTCACGTTAGTGTATTTATTAACATCACAAAGAGATATTAAGTAAATTTATCGACTTATTCATCTTATGTTGAATAAATGAAGTCCCAAATATGTTATTTCATTTATGCTGTAAGTGTGCTATTAATTATTGGGTGAAGTTATAAATTAGGTAAAGTATAAAATAATTCAGATTTTGTGTCATTTTCATTACGTGCACTAAAAATAACTTAATTATATTCGGATTTTCGAAATTCAGTCAATTTTAAATTGCTTATTGAAATTTGTGGTTTTTATCTACCTCCCCCCCTTTTTTTTTCCTCTCTTGGATAATTTGAACGCAAACCGAAGAATATACATAATTATATACATATTGTTTAAATTTCAAATTTTAAAAAAGAAAAGACAAATTGTCAACACAAATTAGTTTTCAAATCCAATAAGCTAGAGAAATTCACATTTATATCCATTTTTTTAAAGGGCTGAAAAAATGTCTTTTATTATTATTTAAAGTTTTATTTATTTATTGTTTTCATCAGTATGTAATGTGTTTTGTGCTTTAAAAAGCAAATTATTATTATTATTGTTGTATGATTAAAATATTAAAAACACTATGGAAATTATTTGTGCGTTAAGTTAAAATTGCAAATATGTTGAAAGTTTTCGAACTTTAACGTGAGGTAATTGCTTTTGTAAGTTCTCATCTATGAACATGTTAACCGACTGAATATGTGAAACTTTAAAAAGTAAAGAGGCTATAAAAAAATTCCATTCATTTGCCTAATATTCCTCAAACGCCATTCCCTCCAGCGCAATAAATTACTATTTCGATGGGAGAGGGGGGGAGAGCAACAAATATTTCGTTTAATATTCCATCTCTTGCTCGGCACGCTGTACCCAGAAACATTTTTATTCCAAGACCTAAACTTTTCCCATTTTCTCCTTCGGTCGATTATCAGTCGAAATTAAGATAAAAATCTTCAAAGAAAGGCCTCATTAGGAAGCGAAAAGTTCCTAGTTAAGGAATCTTCGAACGTCGTCTTTGTTCCACGCGTAGCCTCATCAGCATATTATGATAATTAAGCAAGTCCCATTATAGTGCGAAAGCGAAAGTCGGGAGAGAACGAAAGAGAGAGAGAGAGAGAGAAAGAACGAAAAATGCTTTTCCGTTGTTGGCGTTTATGAATATAGATTGAATTCGCATACGGCGCCTGCTAGCCGAATCCCATCATGCGCAGTAAGCCGGCGTCCGCGACTCCTGCTAGAGGACACGGCAGCAACATCCACCCAGCCGCCAAACGAGCAAGTCCTTCCCTTAATCTATCCCTTTGGAACCTGAAATAGCGCCTCAGACAGCGACGAAATCTATTCAGAAGATGCATTTTGACCTATGGTAAGTTTCCCCAGTTCTTTTATCTCAACAAAAAAAAAAAAAACAAGAGGAAAAAAAAAAAAAAAAGGAAGCCGTTATACCATCGCGCGTCGTCCCGCCATGGAACGATTTCGGCCATATTTCTTCCCGCCTCGAACCACAACAAAAATGGCGTCGGGCGGCTTCCTCAGCTTGCGATGGCGGAGCGAACTATCTTCTTGCGCAGATTTATGCGGCAGTGAAATTTCACTTTCTCTTTCTTCTTTTATCTGTCTTAATCCACTTTAAAGGTTTCTGTTTTTATCGAGGTTTCATTTAAATGACGCTTTTAATAATGCCCGCGATGAAAAAATCTCGATATTTTAAGCTAAATGTAAAGAGATGTAGCACTTTACAATGCGTAATATTGATTTTATGATACTTTGACGACTGCATCACATTTTGGGATTCTCGCGGCCATAACTTTACGACCGCTTTAATCTAAGTTCTTCTAAAAGTCTAGCATGAGTTGTTCTTATTATTCTACTTTGAAGTGAAATAGTTTAAGTAATATTTATCGTTTTTGTTTGCATTTAATTTCAGCTTTAGAATTTTATCGAGTGCTTTATTTTTTGATAACTATATTTAAAAATTTTTACATTAAAAAAGGAAAAACTTTATCTCGCATTATACATGTAAGTATGTTATTTGATTTTATGTTATTATTTCTCATTTTAAGCATGTTAACAACCGTTAATAACTTTTCTATGTATTCGCTGAAGATAGTATTGCCCGTGGTTTATCTTGACATGAGATTCACCTGAATCAATTAAATTTATTCTTCTAAAGCTTGTTTTAACTTGAAATTGTGTCTAAAAAGAACCCTAATATATTTATACATGTATTTTTATCCTTTGAAATTGCATTTCTTGATAAAATTATGGTTTATGAGAATACGAGAATTTTCCTCTAATGATTTAATTACGTGTGAATGAAACCATAAATTAAAATTTTAAATTAATAATCAAGAGGTAAGTTTTAATTTTTCTTTTATCTTTATCTAATCTTTCAAATATGTAGTTTTCAAAAGTGATTTACTTTTGCTGAATTTAGAATTGTATGTCCAGTATCAAGGTAAGTTTTAAAAAGCCTTGTATTTCTTAAATTTGATTAAGTAAGTAAATTAGTTAAATAAATTAATCGGTTTTCACTTAAAAGCAACTTTTGTTCAATGATAATAGAAAGCATAAAATTTATTATTATATAATATTATTATTAACATATTTAAACTTTGTAGAAATTTAATAAATTTGCTTTCAATTTTATTTTTTAAGTGTTCATTTTCTTTCCCTTTTCAAATTAACATTTCTCAATTTTTTAATTATAAACTTTTAATAAAATTTAAAAATTGATAATAATTTATCATTGCATTTATAAAGAATAATAAAATGTAACTAATCATTTCTTCTGCTTTCGATCTGAATCAGTTCAGAAAAATAAGAAAAGTTATAAAATTGCCATGAAAAGTTATATTTTATTTGCTCTAACTATTTACAATAAACTCTATAAAGATGTACATAAAATGCATTTCCTTTGCACTTAAAAACAATTTTTTGTAATAACGAAGAAAATGCAGAACTTGATTAAAAATACTGATTTAAACAGAAGACAGTAAATATTAAAATTTATGCCTTTCTTTGCCAATTTAAACCGTTGGTTTGTTGATAAACTTTCACAGCAGCACGTTTTGATCGCTAAATCGAATCGATTTCTGGATGACATCCAACAAAAGACCACTAACTACGTCACTGACCCGTTTGAAACCAGTAACCAATCATCGCAAACCTATTCATCATAGTCACTTCCCCCACTTCTTTTGACTGACAGCTGAGTAGCCTACGAGAGCCCCGTTTCATAACTTCTCCTTTGCCTTACCGACATTTTGAACCGCCCTGTTGATGGTTTGCTCGTCGTCTGCCACTCAACAGATGTAAAAGTGAAAACATACATGTGTCACTAAGCTGACAAGAAGCTGACAAATGCGGATTAAGATGCTTTTATTGTTTTCTTCAGCCATTCTTCTTCCTTTCGTGTCTCAAGTCATTCTGATGTCAAATATTATGAAATCTTAACTAATGAGCACGTATCTTAAAATGCCTTTAATATATCAGTTTTATTTTATTTGAGCTTGGAAATAATTACATCTACATCATTTTTGATGATAGAATTTTTGTTCATTTATTTTTTTCTTCGAGAATTTTTAGGATTAGTTCATAATCAATTGATTATTTTTCGATTAATATAGAGGAGAGGGGAAGAGAAAAGGAATTAAGAAATTTTGTTGGTTGACGAATATTCTAATGTAGAAAACTGAAGTTTTATGTTTCGTCGATTAATATGTTTAATATATATATATATATATATAAGCACTCTTTTAATAAGCTATTGTCCTTAATAATAAATATAATAAAAAATAATGACCTTAATAGTCAAATCGAAATATGCTGGTTTAGCTTAAAAAAAAAAATAAAATTGAAAGGTTTCAATTTTAAACTATGTCCAAAGAGCGCTTTTTTAACATTTTTGTGTTTACCTTTATTTATTAATACCATGTTCTACGTTCAAACCATAAATTCAGTTCACCTCAATAAACAAAATTTTTCAAAATAGCATATCTTTATAATTTTCGATAAACTAGACACTGTAACAAGTTGTTTTTTTTTTTTTTTTTTTTTTTTTTTTTTTTTTTTTTTTTTTAGCCAGTTTGCTATGCTCACTTGAATCTTAGTTTTTTATCAAAAATTCGTTGAGTGTTACAAAATATGAAAATCGATAATAAAAATTTCAAATTCAAATAGGTCTTCACATTCCCCTATCTATGAAGATTACGTTTCAATTTTGATGGTCTAGGTAACCGTCGTTTATCACATGCGAGAAACATACCTTCTGCATATTCTTCCTATTTAATTTCTTTAAATATATAATACAGGCGATATATTGGCACCACAATTTGAAAGGATTCCCGTTTATTTTTCAACGCAAAATGCCACACGAAATTAATAGTCCTTCAGGCAAGTGCCGCCTTTGCACTAAAAAGGAATCCTATTCTAATGAAAAAAAAAAAAAAAAAGAATGAAAAAGATATACATTTTTGATATTTAAAAAATAAAAACCTGATTTAACTAAGAGAAGCCTCAGTGCATAAACCGATAGGCTTTATTTTTTTAATCATAGCACAGCAAGCTAAAATACCTGCTTAAAGAAAATAAGGCATTGGTGGATCCAATTTCTTCAACAAAACTGGTTTATATTACGTGACATGAAGAAAACCACGGAAACCAGAAGCTACCACCTGTTCAACTACTGAAAACCGAAGCCGAAGCAAACTCAGTTGCTTCGTAGCTTTAACGCAGTGCAGGGTCGACGCTAGTCCCGGTGCTGTCGTACTGGGCGGCAAAATTTTTAGAACGTAGAGAAAGCAGCAAAACTTTTAGAATTTTTTGTTTGGGGGGGGAGGGGGGGAACTGAACAAAAACGTTAGAGGCGGCAAAATATTTAGATTTCATATAGGCATCCAGCAGCAGAATTTAGTACCAGCAGAGACTGCGCAGGCACCGGTACATATTGTACCAGCAATTTTTTTGGGGGGGGGGAATCCAAAAGGGTTATTAGTCTCGAAATGCAATATTGTTTCGAATCACCAATAAATGCGTGGTTTCACTTCTGATTCGAGTTCGTTACCATGCGGTAAAATCGTAAAATATCTATCTTTCAAATTGAATCTGTCTGTTGTGTATTAACATACTAAAGCAGTCTGAAAGCAGTAATATCTTAAAATGCCTCCACAATAAAATACGGTTCTTAAAAATATTCGCTTCATACTTTTGAATAGGGTTGATTTAAATAATAAAAATGAATTTAATTCGTGACCTATGTAATTAAAAATATTTAATATTTTCATAGAATGATTTTATATATTTTTATTATTTATTTCATATTTTGTAAAACTTTAATGAATTTTTGATTAACAATCACACCGACTCTAAAGCCAGAAGTGGCAACAGCGTTACGGAATAAAGCATTTTAATCTCCAACTGGTAAGGCTGTCTATCGGAAATTCTAAAGGTGTACTTGTTGTTATATATCTTGTAATTTTGCTATTGAGTTATGTGGCTTAAGTGCGAAGAACGTAATATTGAACAAATAAAGTTAAAAAATGTTAATCACAAAACCAAGACAAATAAAAGAAGGGGGTTAGCAGAAGTGAGTGCAACAGCACACTGGTAGGCTGGGAGCTCAGCGAGAGCGTAAAAAACCCTAACAAACCCTTTTGAATGAACAATAAAATCTGAAATTTCTCAGACCTTTTTTTTTTTTTTTTTTTTTTTTTTAATTGGAGAAGCAATACCATTTATCTGCCATTCAGACGGTATAGTGGTTAGGGGCGCCTACTGTGGTACCGGAGGGCCGGATTTGAATCCCAAAGAAAGCATAGTTGTATCTCCCTTCACCCTTAACCGTGGCCGCCTAGTAGGTGCCTGCACAATAAAATGGCTGCCATATCTGACCTTAAAAGTGGTCAGTGCTAAAAAGGCAAGTACCCTCAATTTCCTGAAAACTTTACGGTTTCTGCTAAAATTATCGATAATTAAATGTAATTCAACTTTTTAATTACTTTATTACCGTTGTGATTAAGAATGTGAAGAGTGTTTTTGTCTCTTTTGGTCTCCGAAAAGTCTTCTTACCTTCCCTGATCTTCTTACTCCTTCATTTAGGAGTTAGAAAAAAAAAAAAGAAAAAAAAAGGTCTTTTATCTATTTTTACAGGAGATTGTTACAATTTAGTTTGTTCATATTTCCTTACTTATAAATTTTAATATCACATGTATTTTGTATCAATTTAATTTACGGGTAATTTTAGTTATATTTAGCTTAATAATAATAGCCCTCCCCCCCCTTTTTTTTTTTTTTTTTTTTTTTTGTTTTTTTTTCGTTTTGTTCTTAAAAGCTTCTCCCAGAATTGAGGAATTTCCTACGCCATTT